GGGGGGGGTTTACTAATCAGGAGCCAACATTAAGCCAGTCATGCTCACCTTCCTTCGGGCTCATGCGGTTTAGTGTTGAGGGCCCTGGTACCCGCCACCGAAAATGCAAAGCACTTGAATCTGCGACATTCTGCGAATTCAGACCCAAATCCTACCGCCGAGAACGGCAAAAATTCCGGCATTCGGAAAATGCCTAAGGATTCTCTATCTCAGGAGACCCTAAACGCTAAACGGTAATCTTACAGCCGCATCCCACAAGAACCTGCTGAACGGTGGGTCCGCTAAGGCCCCGAACCTCATATGCCATACCCCACCCCAACCTGAAGCCCAGCGCCCAAACTTAAAAACCGAAGCCGATGACCTACAGCCACAATTCCTCAGGCTCCAAAAACCTATCAGCTGTACACAACGCAAGCCCTAGATCCTAAAACCCTAGACCCCAAGCACTAAGCCCTAAACATCGAAATAATCTAAACCCACCTTAACACTCCACATGCCCTTATGAGCTCTCAAACCTGCTTGCGGAAGCGCAACCACCAGCAAGCCCACAATGAGCAAGGCCCAACACCGGAGGTCAGCCTCGCTGGTGAACGGGAGTGTGGGGTTTAGGGATCACCTGCAGATCCAAAAACCGACCGTTTTAAGGGCTCCAACGTTTAATTAAGGTGTCACAACCTACTATTTTGTAAGGCTGAAAACAAGTTTTGCCCTCTCGCATGGCAAGGATCTATGCCCACAAGCGTTGAACAGGGTTTAGGGTTTCGGGTGTCTAAGGCTTATGACAGGCTTATGGGTTTAGGGTTTAGAATTTGCTTTCCTTTGTTGTGGCTAAGGGCTTGGGGTATATAAGGCTTCTTCCTGGCAAGGTTCGGGGATAATGGGCTTTAGATGGCTTTAGGGTTAAGGCTTGTAAGGACTTATTGACAACATACGGTTGATGGACAAAATTCTGCATGGCCCAAATATAGTATAGTACCATAAACCCCATAGTTTAGGTATATAAAGTCATGCAGGATTTTGTCCATCAACCGTAGGGTGTAGAGTTTCGGCGACTTGCAGGATATGTTTGTCCTGCCAAGATGCCAGGTCCAGGAGAAGTGCCCACACGCTGCCTCAGCTTCTTCAGAGCCGGCTACCAAAAGTGAGGGGACTTCGTTACATCGGGGAGGGTTCGCTTTCAGAAATTCAGGGTCGATGATCGTCGCATTGCGGATCTCTGCCAAATCCCGCTGTTTTCTGAAACTTACAGGTCAGTTGTCTCTGGTTGTCTCGCAATCATCAGAGGGGCGAGGGGATTGCCGTCCAGCGGCCTATGGGCATCCAGGTTCTCAAAGCAATCCGGAGTTCGTGCCGCGTGTTGTTCTGAAGTCCGGCTCCCTTTCGTTTTGCTAGCCTTGTTGTGGAAGACGTAGCAGGAGCCGGAACCACATCTGCGGAGTCTCGCGGCCAGGGGTGTTCGTCTTGAGGCACATGGAGGATCACCACATGATGCTTTGAAGGCTTACAGCTAGAAGCAATCTCGCTGCAGTCGTTCCACGGATCCTGGCACCGCAAAAGAACGAACCAAGATGCTTCGAAGAACAGTGGTAGCATCTGTGGTGAAAAGGAACACTGTCATGTCTGTGAATCCGCAACACAAAGCCTTTCACGGCTCCTGTCTTGGTCTGGACTCATGCAACAGGCAGTTCGAATCTCTGCATTGACACTGCATTGTGCCCAAGCGAAATTATCTTCCCAAGGCTGACCACCACCCCCAGTGCCGTCAAGCCACCCAGAGATGTTGGAGACAAGACTGAAGGCCCTTCTGCCTCCTTTCATGGAGAAGTCTAAGAGTCTAAGGCGCTTGTGGTGGTTCCGCTGCTGCTGCTGCTGCTGCTGCTGCTGCTGCTACTGCTGCCCTCACTATTTCTAATACTACTCCTACTACGACGACGACCATACAACCACTACTACTGCTGCTGCTATCACCCCGACCACTACTACGACGACGACCATACAACCACTACTACTGCTGCTGCTATCATCACAACCACTACTACGACGACGACGACGACTACGACTACGACTGCGACTGCGACTGCGACTACTACTACTACCACCACGACGACGACGACGACTACTACTACTACTACTGCTGCTACTGCTGTTACTACTACGACGACTACCACTACAACTACCACTACCACTGCCACTACGACTAGCAGTACTACGAGCACTACTACAACCACTACTACTACTACTGTCCACCACCACCACCACCACCACCACCACGACGACGACGACGACTACTACTACACTACCACTACCGCTGCCACTACCACTACAACTACAGAAACCCCACCAGGACTACCATTATTATCGCTACTACTGCTGCTACTGCTACACCATTACCACGATTACTAGTTGATTACAAAGTGGATCGCATCTACATGCCCGGCCTTCGGCGCAGCAACCGCTTTTCTGCCTGCAGCCTCTTGGATGCTCTTGCTCGTTGCTTCAGATCAGGGTACCTACTAGGGAGGCTGAGGACGGGCTTAGGAATACCTTCACGGTTCTGGACGGTTGTCTTGCTTCTGTAAAGGTGACAACCTAGAGTCTTCATGTGCCGGAAAGCAAGCTTTCGGTCCTGCGAGGTCATGCACGAGCAGAGGTCTTGAGGCTTACAGCAGGCTCAGAGTCATAGGATGGGATGTCTGAAGCCTGGTCCGAGAATGTAGAGATACAGGCTTACGACGCCTCGATAACGTGTCAGGCTCCATCTGCAGGTTGCAGCGACATTGGGCTTGGCAGCAGGGCTCTGGCGTGAATGTTCGTGGTCAGGCAAAGGGTCCGGCAACCCGAGCTTTGGAGCTTCTTCCGGCTCCCCTGACTCAGGGTTTTTTGTCCTCCCTAGTTGAGGGTTCAGGGTTAGGGTGTAGAGTTTCAGAGTTTGCAAATGGTTCAGGGACCCCAACGGGTCATCTCCTGGTGTGTATCCGACGGACTTGTCTGTACAAAAGGAACTGGCTACTAGCCACGCGGGTACGTATGACCTTCTCTGTAGAGACAGTAGGGTTCAGGGAGAACCAGGCATCCTGCATTCCAAACCAGCTTCGCAAAAATAAGCCCCCCGACCATCAAAATGGGTCCGCCAGCATAGTGTGTGAGGTTCAGGGTTGTCAGCCCTGATTAGATGGCACCTGTTCCAGGGCGTATGATGACGAAGGCAAAAAAGGAGGGACCATGATTCGGGACAACCCTCCTGTCTACCGGGGATGGTGCTGCTAATAAGCTTTTATGATATCAGAAGGATCGATCCTGGGGCTGCGTTTGTGCATGGGAAGTTTTTGGGGGTATCTTATGTACATCTTTCGGTCAAGTCCCCAGGAGATACGTTAATCTAGAGAGCTACCCTCAAACCACTGCCCCCGGGCCCGCAGCCTTGGGAGGCTTCTGTGGTAGCCTCTTTGGCAGTGACAAAGCACGAGGAGGCGGCGAGCGGAAGAAGCGGCAAGCTGTAAACCTGAATCGCCAGGTTTTGAGGCAGACGAGTTACAAGACGGTGAAATTCGTTATCGGGGGTGGCCTTCACGTTAGAAGGCAAACACAATGCGCACGGTAGGGCCCCACGTCTCCTCTATTTACTGTCAGGGCCGTCAGGGGAATGTATAATGTAAACTTCTTCACATGTACTGAAGCTTCATCGGCACGGTAAGGAATGCAGGCAGCAGGATTGCCAGGAGAACAAATTGGACTTTGAGGCTCTCTTGATGGGGCTCTCGCTCCACTGCAACCCAGCCTTCCGACAGGAGCGGATTGCTCGGTTTGCGAAATCACAACCGAAAACAAAACAAACAACAACATGCCCACCGGTGTCATAGCCACCAACCCGACCCTGCATCCCCAAAATGGCTTGCTTGCCATGACTGGCTGCTGTCAGATAGCACATGTTGCAATTTCCTTCCCATAGAAATGTCAAAATTTCGGTGATGTCAGAAGACATGTTTCAAGCAGATACTGATATCTGCATCTCTGCTTATCTTTCAATACGCCTATGCATGCATCGATGTATGCATGTATGTATATACGTACGTATGTACATGCATGTGTATATGTCTATGTATATGCCAAGGTGGATGTGGAACTCATTACAGGTGTGTAGGCACATGAACATGCACACAAGTATGTTTATATTTCAATGTATGAAGTTACAAACATGTATGTATGTATGTATGTATGTATGTATGTATGTATGCATGCATGCATGTACGTATGCATGTATGTGTACATAAACATGTAGTTGTACATGCACACACACACACACACACACACGCACGAGTGCATAGTATCCATACAGCATATGCGTGTATGCCTGTGCTGGCATGTGTACATGAGCATGTGTAAGTGTATGTACATGTCTACGTGTATACGTGCGCATATGTAAACATACATCAGCGGAAGGATATGGCCATGTGTACATGCATGCTAATCAATCTCTCATGTGTGTGTCTGGGGATCCGAGTGCCTGCGTGCACGCAGGCAAGGCTTGCAACGACTGCATGAAGGGTTGATGAACTAAGTATGGGCTGCATGAAAAATTGGGTTCAGGGTCGTGTTTCAGGGCCTGGCTTGGCTTGAGACTTTAGATGTGCGTCGGAGTCGCTCACGTCCAGCAGCCGTCGCCAGCATGTTCGCAAGTTCTGCCGCGAGAAATCCTTATTTTGAGGGTTGCTCGCCGCGACCTCATACATATACCTGCCATGATGATCGCTCCTACTCTTGTAAGGTCCTACGGTTTGTACGATCCTAACCACACAATTGGGCACCCAAACTCCTCAAAAGCAGAATCTACGCCATAGCTCATGGACTTGTCATAGACTCCGACTTGCTGCGTCTCTTTGGACTGCAGCTTGACTTCAGCAGCGGCAGCATGGGATAAGTTGTTGCTTGATGCAGGGCTACAGCTGTGAGAACCAGGGTTTAGGGGTAAGCTTAGGGCTCTATGCGGTTTCAAGCCTTTGAGCATCCCCGTCGTCTAAGCCATCACAGTTTGGGGCTAAGTGAACCCCATAAAGCAAAGGCTCGAGTGTCCTTTCAATAAGGAGAGATAAATAAAAAAATAAATAAATATATATACGTACGTATACATGTGTATGTATAAGTATATGTATGTATGCATGTACGTACGTGCGTATGTATGTCTGTATGTAGGCATGTATGTATACACATGTGACTTGTTCAGAGGTCATAGCCTCGGGTGCTGATTTTCTTTCCTTTCTCGCACCAGGCGAGGGCTTATCCGAAGGGCAAGGCAGATTTAGATGCGTTCGGAGCTTCGCAAACACTATCAGAAACAACAAGAATGATAATAGTCATAACCCTGTGTAGCGAATGATCATCAACAAGGCAGCGAGAGCATTCGAACAGGGCCAAGGCGGACGTCTATTCTGAAGTTCGGAAGAAGCATAACAGGAAGCTTTACTTGGAGGGCCGGGGACTTAGTAAGTAGTTGTTTTGCAGAGCTGTAAAAATCGTAACCCCAATTAGGATCCCCCTGCAGGGTACTGGCAACTCTGCTCGGCTCTACTTATTGCCTGCTCCAGGTATCTGATTTCAGGAAATCCCCTCACATCTGGGAGCTTGGTACACCCAAACATATGCAATATCCCTTACACCACAACTGGAGGAGGCATCCATACAAGTTTTAGGGAACAGCCCTCTCAACAGGTATGGAAACTCTAACCCTTGACCCTTTTTTTGAACCCAGACTCTGCCAATCAGCTGGGAAGCAGCACTGACCCTAGACCATAAACTCAAGCTCTTTTGGGAGCTCCTGCCCTTGCACCCTGGGCCCACCACCGCCGCGCGCTTCGCGAGGTAGCGGCTACGAAGCTGATGAGCTGCCAGGGTATCAGCGTTTAGGCTGCAAGGCTTTGGGGCTTGGAAGAAAAATTCGAAACCTTAGTTTAAATTGAAACAGTCTGAAACCGACAGTCCCGAACCCCCAAAAATCCCAATCCCTAGACCCTACTAACTTGCCATAGTCCCTCAACGCGTCCCCGAACTCGGTAGAGGTTTCCGACGCAGAGAGGTGACAGCGGCTATACGGGCTCAAGGGCCGGAGGTTTCGTATCTAGTTTATTTTAGAAGGCTCTTTTCCGAGTGTGTACGCTCGAATTCCTTACCAGGAGCCTGTTGTTGGGACCTCAGTGCGGGTAAAGAGCTTCCTACAACCTCGCTAAAGACACCTTTTGAGGCCCCAACGACTGGGGTGCTCCGCAGATTCCCAGGGTGCTTCAAGCATGCATATCTAGGGTTTAGGGTTTAGGGGTTTGGGTTTTAAAAAGCGAGGGTTTAGGCTTTCGGGAGCCTCTGTGATCACAATGTAGAAGCCGCATGGTGCCCATGTCATTCCACTGCAAGCGAGACGCCCGAAGCACACCCCTAGCTACATGGACTCCTAAAACTCCTGGCACCTCAACCCAGGACATGCAATATAGCGGCCTTACTAATCAGAATAGGGTTTTGGCGTAGACTATACTATGACTAAAAATAAGGAACCCCCAAAATAGTTTGGTATAATTATTTAGACCCCTACATGCACCCATGTCCTTGCAATCACCAAAAGCAGTGCGTGCAAACTACTCACGACTATAAACTACTCGAGCCTGAAATAAAGCAGGCGCCTGCATACTGCCGAGTTTAAACATTTAAAGAGCGACGAGTCACGAAACCCTAAACCCCTAAACCCACAGGAATTTCCTAAGATGTTGACTACCGAGTTCGTGTCCACGCAGCGACTCTACTACCCAGTCTAGGCAGCCTGCTAATCTTGGGGCCTCAGTAATTACAAATTTTGCGGGTTCCGTATTATAGATATAGCATAATGGGCCCCGCAATACCCGTTTCTATTTGTTAAGGCCCCTATATTAGGCTTCACCTAATGAGCGTTCACGGCCTGCTCTGCATATTGGAGGCCAGTGTTTGGTCACAAACACCTGACGAAGGCCACTCGAAAAGGAAATCTAAGTCCACAAGCATCGCAGCAGCCCCCGTCCCAAGCCCTTGAAAACTGCCGTTCAGAACTCAGTCCCTGAACCCTTCATGTTGCGTGTGGCTCGAGTACTTGCTTCTCTCTGCAGCTACTCAATTACTAAAGAGCTCTGCAAGAAGACCCTAAACCCGATTACAATCGCAAACCCTAGCTGCTGCGAACCAAGAGCCACAGACTTGCAGCGAAAAGGCTGGATTTTGTTTTCTGTTCAAAGGGGGGGGGGTCATCAGGCATTTCCCTTATTCAACAGGCCTAGAGTCGAAAAGGGTTTCGAGTTCTGACTCCCTCTGTCCTTCTTCTCTTTGTGACGTTTGTGGGTCTGTTTGTTGGAGCTCAAAGCTCCCCAAAAATTGTGT